TCCAGCATGCACTATCTTTAGTAAAATGATCATAACTCAAGCTCTCGATATTAGATTGAGATGATTCAAAACCATTGGAATGATAAGTGATAGAGGAATTATGTCCAATTTATTTTAGGACTCAAACATCCATGTATCAAATCCCAAAAGTGAAGACATCTTACTGATATTAATGTATTTGTTGTGACTGTTCAACTCCCCTCATGCACCTAGACACAAAAATAGAAAATGTTCAAGCTTGAATAAAATAAAAAATAAATATGTCATGAAGAAATTTAAAGAGGTAGTTTAATTAATGAACCAATTTAAATGAATGAACTAGTTTAATTAGTGAACTAGCTTTATTGAATGAAAGAGCGAACTTTTTAAATGAAGTAGCTTCATAGAAACATACATACTTTAATAAACTCATGCTTAAATGAAATACAAGCTTAAATGAACTCGCATGCTTATTTATTTATGCAACCTAATTTCATGAAAATTTATTAACACTCATGCACAAGTAAATGATTAAATCCTCTCTTAAACTTGGTTGTTCCTTCTTCACATCCCATATTTGAGTATGATGGTGAAAATTCTTCTTTGGAATTAAAAAGGCTTTCAAAAATATTAACTTGGCTCGAAATTCCTATATTAAGCTCAAATAAGCTTCTCGAAGCTTCTCAACTGTAATTAGCTTGCCTCGATCAAATGGTCTCAAGGAGATTGCAAAAAATGGTGTAAGGTGCATAGTAGGGATTACATCATTTCCTTCATCTTTACGACAATTTGTCCTAGAATCAAAAATATCAATAAAAGAACAAACTTCATTGGAAAACAAGAAAGAATCTTTACAGTAGGTAGAATAATTCAATTTAGTTCCTTGTCCTTGAAAAATGTTCATCTCCAATTTGCAAACACCATTGTGGAAATATTCTTCATCACCAAGTAAAAAGAAGTCTTTTCCATAGATGGATAAGTACTTTTGATCACTTGATCTTCCCCTTCCTCTACTTTTACTTGGTGCAGTAATTGATCTCTCTGATTGTGTAGATCTATCTCCCAATTTCTTTGGGCAATTCCGAGTAAAGTGACCAGGTTCACCACAATGAAAACAAGCTCCACTAATAAATCTACATACTCCTCGGTGTAGCTTGCCATAGGTTTGACATAAAGTCTTTTCCCCAGATGCTCTGCCAGAGCTAACAGCAAAAGACTAGGATTGTCTATTTTTCTGTGAAACTGCTGCAGAACTATCTCTATCAGAATATCTTGAACTCGAGCCCTTGCCTCTTTTAGCATAACGGGGAGTGGAAAGCATTCCCACTCTTTTCCCTGTCTGAACACTCTGCTCTACAACTAATGTTTCCTCCTGAGCTCTTTCAATAGCTTTGGCTTTGTTTATGACTTCTTGTAGACTCTACAAGTTTAAGGCCAACATCATCTCTTTCAACTTTGGCCTCAAACCCTCTATGAACCAATCACGTCTTGCCTTGTCATTTGGAATAACTTCAGTGGCAAAACGGCTCAACTTGTTGTACTCGACCTCGAATTTATGTACGGCTCGATCACCTTTCTTTAGATTAAGGAACTTCATCAACATTGCCCGTTTGAACTGTTCACCCACATACTTGTTCTTGAATTCTTCTATGAAAAATTGCTAGGTCACTTGCTCTGGTGGTGCATACATCATAATGTTTGTCCACCATACACGAGCTGATCCTCTAAGTAACGATATAGCTCCTCCCAACTTTTCCGGATCTGAGCATTGTAAACTTTCAAGCATTAACATTACATCATTTAACCACAGATCGACCTCCATATGACCCTCACCCTCATCTCCTCGGAACTCTGGAGCTCCCAAACTCTTCAGCTCCTTTGGAATCAACATTTTAGAGAATGGAGGAGCAGGGGAAGATTGAAACCAATTCAGCATAGTGTCCAGAGCTTGCATGAAAGTTCCAAACTCAGGCACCGGAACCCCCTGAGATGCAGGTGCACTTGTATTTTCAGATGGAAGAGGTTGTGCACTATTATCCTCATAACTTTCACCAACTGTTCCTTCTTGTATTTCTTGTTCCCCCTCTCTTCTTGAGTTCGAGGATTCTAACATCTATTAATACATACATAGTAATAACAATACAACTAGTAAGGAGTGTCATCAATCACCCTCTAATGGCATCATATCAGTAACATTGACAATCTTTATGGCATGTAATCATTTTTCTATTGAAAATTGAACCAGTTTTGGCCGAGAATCGGCTAAACTTGTATCTCTGATACTAATAAATGTAATACCCATAACTCGTATATGTTTCCGTATAAACATTATCGATGTCCTATCACTTAATATTTATTTATGATTTGAAAAACCTTTAAAATGTTTTGTTTTAAAATTCATTTCTCTTTAATTTGAAATATTAAATAAGTACTTGTTCAAAACACATTACAAAATATTTTATTACATTTAATTACATGCCATATAAGTTTCCACAATGATCATTATTGTCCTAATGTTACTGATGAGTCAACCTTAGTGGATGATATCTGCTATACTCCTTACTTGATTGATCTCCGTTGTTACCTACGTTTGGGAACACACTTTAAGTATTTACTTAGTGAGTCACAATATTGTATGATCTTTAAGGATTCCATGATCCTTTTTGTTTAAACCTCATTTCATTCTCAATTATTATACTCTATTTTCATTAACAATACCAATTTATATTTAAAATGCGTCGTTATACATTCTTACTTATAACATACATTTATGTTAATAATGCACCCATATGCATTTCAATCATAATATATTTTTATGTTAATAATGCACCCATATGCATTTCAATCATAATATATTTTTATGCTGATAATGCACTCATATGCATTTCAATAATAACATACTTTTCTGTTGATAATGTACCCATATACATTTCAACTATAATATACTTTACTGTTGATAATGTACTCATATACATTTCAACTATTGTATATTTTTCTGTTGATAATGTACCCATATACATTTCAACTATATCATACTTTTCTGTTGAGAATGTACCCATATACATTTCAACTATAACATCTTTTCATGTTGATAATGCACCCGTATGCATTTTAAATTTTCATTCATTTTAGAGCAATTCATACTCTAAAACTCATTCACAATATCATTTCCATATAATCAATAGAAACATAGTAATTTCGATAAAACATACATTAACATTTCAAATATTCTAACTTGACGAATCTCAAATCATCTTTATCTAAATTGAATACAATAAAGGTACTCACCTGGCTTGCCTTGCTTTGATGACCAAAATGTAAAGATAATTATTCTGGGACTTGACCTTTTCCTTTTTCCTTTCTCAACTCGGGAGCTTGATTTCGATCTACTTAAGTATCCATTCAAAACATGTACAATATACATTATTAGTATATTCCTTCTCAATTATACCCAAGAAATACTCAAAGATACTTATTATTAAATTTCTATAACAATATCAATATATCTTAGCATCTTTGACTTGGTAGTATCGATACCTCTACTATACTATCGGTACTACTATACTATGGTACTGATACTCCCTTTTTGTATCAATACCAATTTTATATTCAATGTTACACGCTATCGCTACCCTTACCATGGTATCGATACCACCCTACTAGGATACCGATACCCCCTTTCCGGTATCAATACGAAAATTAGAATTGATGTTTCCTTGGTATCGACACCCTTAACCTGGTATCGATACCCCTTCCCAGGCTACCGATACCCTCTTCCTAGGTATCGATACCCATTGAATGCCTTCCTTAATTTACTCTTGAAGTATCAGTACATGATGAATAGGTATCGATACCCCTTGCCCATATTTCCAGTTTTTAACCCGAAATATACCCAAATTTGGTCAATTTTCTTCATCTTTACCCCCAACAATGCTATGTAACTTTTCTCTACTTATCCATACTAACTTTCTTTTATTTAAACACTTAAAACATCTAGTATCCCTCAAAATCAATTGATTCTATGAATCACATCAAAATTTCTAACTTGTTTTTAAACTCATCCATTGCTTGTAATCTATTATTTACTTCTTTGATAAATCAAATATGCTAGTAAACATCAACAAGAACTCATATTCTAACATATCATTCAAAAACTCATTTTCTTATATCTCCAATATTTTCTCTATTTCATAGTTATACTCACATTAAATCCTTTATTAAGCTTCTATTATACTCAATGCTTCAAAAACTAATAAAAAACGAAAGGATTAATCTACAAATTGAAAACTCATCTTTGAGCTATGGAGGAGAGTTTTCTCACGGCCAAGAGAAGAATAGAAGAATTTACATCATTTCCCCCACTCATCCTCTTATCTCTTTATCTAATACCCCATAAATTGATTATTAAATTCAATTTAATCTAAATGACCAAAATGTTCTTTTAATCATCATTTACTACAATTTAGTACAAACCACTATTTCAAATCCATTATCATCTTCTAACATTTAAGCATTTAAATACTCGATTGTTAAATCTTTTCAACAAAATCCCTCATTTAATAATTGGGGTATTATATGAGGACGAAGTATAATATGATTTTTTTTATTTTTGATTATAGGTTTTTGATAATGTCATTGATTGCTTTATCGAAGAACCACCATTGTTGATCAAAAGCTAGATTTTCAATGTTGTCGTTGGATTCAGTATCGGTAGAATTTTCACCTCCATGCTTTTCACCACCAGAGAATGACACGTGCCATTCTTTGATTGATCATAAATAAGTAAATAAAAATAATTTATTTTATTTTTAAAATTTGTGACGTGGCTCGTGATCTCCGACATGGACAAACCATGTTCCCTTTCACTTCCATCTGTGCTTATTCCATCAACATATGGCGTCAAAGGTGATTATTTACCTAAAGTTAAACGTTCAGTGATCAAATGTTAAAAAAAACAATACGGACAAATTTGACATTATTATAAAACGTTAGAGTTATTTTGTTGCATTATACAAAAAAAAAAAAGGAAAAGCTAAAATAACAATGATAATTTCGGACACTTCAACTGTTGATCAAAAACCCCATGTTTCCTAATAGACGAAATGGCAATTATAAAAACTAGATCCCAATAACTAAAATTGGGCAAATACGGTGACGGGTGAAGTCTCTTGTTTCTTTGCTCCTGGTTGGTGCTTCGGATCACACAGGAACTGCCATGCCTTTCTTTGTCATGCTATCCAGTATGTCATTCAAAGCTTGACACAAACCAACAATCTGCATAATCATAAGCCATGATAAATCTGAGAAATCACAAACCCGGAGTTCGCCATATTATCTGTAATTAAGTCCAAAGCTCAAAAGCGCATTACCTGTTGGTCCCATTGTTGCAGCACTTCAGTGTCATCTTCAAAATGTATAACTGCTTCCACCTGATGCATACAAGTTTTAATTATTTAAACAGCAGATGGTTCTGAATAAAGACATTTGTAAAATCAGGTTCAATTTGAGAATCATATATCCTAAAATCAATTCATCATTGAATCCATTAAAGTAGCGAAAAATCACAAGGCAAAAAATTAGAAACCTGATCAATCGATCCCTTCATTCTATCCTCATAAATCATTCTTGAAGCTATTTTCTCAGCCTGTAAAGAAAACCAGCCAATTAACTTCTCTGTTTAACTATAAATATGAAAGTATTCCCTCATAGAGATAGGTCATATAACCAAAAACGAAAAGCTACAAAAGTAGCTTAAAAGACTGTAACATAAGAATTGTACCTTATTAGAAGGAATTCCCAGCAAAGTACCAAGCTCATCAAAACTATGTCAAGGACGGAAAAAACTTTGTTAGAAATTTTCAAACCTATAAATAAGATAAGAAGAAAATCATTAGTGTTATGTTTCTAACCTTATATTTGTATAAAGTTTACTTGCACTCAGAAGATTATGCTCTATCATGGCACGGTCCAGCACGGTGAAATTGTCGGGAAGTAAAGCTTTCTGTTGGGAGAGGAAAGGCTAGTTGAAGAAAGGAGAACTTGCTTTAACTGTGAACGCAATATGTAAGCTAGTTCAAACATTTTATAACCTGATGCGGTTTCAGTTCTTCAGCAAATGCATCAATTTCAGGTTTTCTTAAGATTCTCTCCAAATAAACCTGTTAATCTCCATAAAATTCCCAACAGGCAGGACGTTATGTGATAGATATAGACAACAATGTGCCAAACAAGTGCATGGAGGAATGCACGTGTGTGTGTGTGTGTGTGTGTGCACCTAGATGCAAGACAAAGAACCTTTTGTAATATTGGATAAATCTTCAGCTTGGAACATCGTTCATCCTGAAACATGACACAAGTCATTGACATTATTAGAATCAAACATAAAATAATAATAGAAAAAAGAAATCTATCACATTCAAGAGAAAGTTTTTACTTTGTAAAGGGTGGCAAGAACACGAGAGCGCTGAGGACCTGCAGCCGCTAATATTGTACATGTTACAGCAGCAGATAGAGCTTGCTCCAGTGCATCCTCATCAATTGTTCTGTAATTGTGGATCATTGAAAATTTTGAATCATACATATTGTAGTATTCAGAAAAGAAAAGAGAGAAAACAAGATGCAAGCAAAATGAAAGCTGTACACGGTTTGCAAAACATGATGGTCAGTGATGCAAGCCCCATGTATAGAGTGATGTAGAACAAGTTCAGAGAGTCAGTTTGCTTCCGTTTATGTCAGCTAATAACTGCTTTAAGTGAAATGTCGGCAAAAACACAATTAGGGCCTAATTACATACTCATCTCCTATTTGTCGGTTCTCAATTTGAGATATGTTGTAGTATCGCAGTGCTGCTTCCAAGAACTTCCTCTTTAAATCCAAAATCCTTGCATAACAAACCTGAAAACCAGGGAAAAGAAATTAAAGAATGACTTGACTTCCAGCTCTAGATTATAGTAATTGACCTAAAACTATGCCAAACCTTGTATTGTAAAATCAGTACTTCATTCTGACAGTTGCTAACCAAGAATGAAGCTTTGTTAATAAAAGCTTCTGCATTAACGGAATCATCATCCTGTAAAATACTCAAGCAATTGTTTCGTGTTACCTTTCCATATTGATTTTACATATCAGAAATTGAATAAGTAACCGAATAACTTATTGGCATTCTAACACATCCAAACTTGCCTATATAATGCTGGCATTAAATTAAAAATATCCAATACCTCAAGATAGAGACGGGCAATTTGGACACACTTTGACAATCTGAACGTATCATCAATAACCCTGATAGTAATATCAAAAACAGATAAGCATCATCAATATGAACAAAAGAACATGTTCTGCACCCTTCACTATAAAATTAAAGGGAATCTTACTATCAGACCTCATTCCAGAGTCCAAATCAATCCCACTTAGCATCTGAGCTGCTTTTGACCACTGCTGCTCTGACTCATACAACTCAGCAAGTTTCTCTCTAATAATAAGCACCTATAGAACTCATGCAAAGTAAACAACTTTTATTAAACAACCATCCAGATTTCATAAGCTGATTAGTGGCTCATCCAAAGGAAACTAAAACACCAGAAGGAAAAACTATTCTCTGCTTTGCAAACGAATTCCAACCAAACTAGAAGCCACAACATGGGGAAAACTTAACCAAAAGAGGAAAAGAAGAAGAAGAAGAACTGTTCGAAGATATAGAATTAACGAATTCATCTTTCAATCAAATCATCTCGTCAGCGGAAAAAGGCTCAACAATCTAATATTTAAATATTAAAAAAACCCTTTATTTTGAATTGTAGAACAAATTTTCAAGTAACTTTCATTAAAAGGGCTAGAAATAAAATTTAAAGGAACCTGTTCTTCGAATGAAACGACACGAGGCTGAATCTGAGCAAGGGTGTAATGCGCAACATCCTTTTGTGCCTCTGGCTCCAATCTTCCTAATTCTTGTGCGAAAGTCTGTAAGAGCTGCCTTGACACCACCAGTGGGACATCGTCCGATAACACTGAAAAAATTAAATCAAAATAATTAAACCCTAAAAGACTCTAAACAACCTTTAAGGCAAGCAAAGGTAAAACGATTACTATGATCGATGAATTTCTTGGCTTGAACGATGTCGTTGGATGAGAAAACAGTTGACAAAATGTGCTTGTATTGCTCGATTTTCTGCCTCTGTTCTACAATCGCCGAGGCGTTTGCTAATGCACTCTCCATTGGCTTTCGATCTCTGCTTCAAAATTATCGAAACCCTTTTTTTTCCAATAGAGAAATGAGAGATTTAACAAAATGTCCAAGGTTTACTGTTACTGTTTAGGGTACAGACGGATTCCGACCGATCTGATCCTACAGAGTCAAATTTTTAAAAAAGTATTTGGGTTTAAATAAGATCCGGTCAGATGATAAGAGATAGAAGGTCGAGATTGAGTTTAGAATGGTTTGGATTTAGGATTTAAGATTGAGGATTTAGAGGGTAATATTTAAAGTTAAAAATATCTGATATTATTATAAAATAATACTTGATATTATCAAAATGCCATATCATATATATATATATATATTATTTAGGGTTTTAGTTCTAATATTTCGTTTCATTTCTGCCGTTCCTTCTTCTCTTTCTTTTTCTTTCTGCCGTTTTTTCTTCTATTCTTTTATTCTTCTTCTTCTTTCATTCTTTATTTCTTTTATTTATTTTTCAATTCATTTTATCTCTTAAAATTTTACTTGGATTTTCTCTATAATCAGTAAAAATTGTCTCTTCCATCTTATTTTTGCAAAAATTAGTATTAATCTACACGAAGATTCAAGTACTAAGTTAAATTTCTTCTATTTTTTTGTTTATTTTTTAGATTATGGTTAAAAATCCCATATTTGTTTCATAGTTTAGTTTTCAGTTTGTTTTATTTTTTTATCATGCATGTTTGTTTTTGATTTGTTGTTTGTTTGGTTAGTGAGAAAGTGAGAAAATAAGGGAACATGTGAAAAAAATGTGAAATCTGAAATTGATAGAGTTGGGTCCGGTTAAATAAGATTTTTAGTTTAAATTTTGGGTCGGTGTCAAGTCAAGCGAAACCTTTTAAAATCGGGTTCGGGTCGGGTGACGGGTTGAGGGTAGTAGTCTTCTGGCCGGAGTCGGATAGGTCTAAAATTTGACAAGTCCCATACCCATCTCTAGTTACTGTATATGCTGGTTTATTTTGGCCACTAAATTTTTCACAGTTAAAATTATTAGGGGTGAACAAAACTCGACTCGACTTAAAAAATTAATTTTTTTTACTCGAAAAAAATTGACTCGAATTAAATTCGAGTTACAATTTCATAAACTCGACTAGTCTCGAAAAAATTTTAAGTTTAAATCTAGTTGTAAAATGTAACTCGAATAACTCTAAAGTTTTAATAATTAGTGGATTTATTTTCAAGTTTAAATCGAGTATTTGAACTTTGTATGATATATGCATATTACATATGAAAAATAATTTGTAGAAATATATTTGTATTGTACATATAGTTATAGAAACTCACTTAAATTAGAACAAAATAATATCATAATATTATAAGTATTCACAATTAAATTTAAACATAAACTTGAAAAATCAACTCGACTCGAAAAAATTTCAAGTCCAATTTAAGTTGTAAAACAAAACTTATCAACTCAAATAATTTTAAAAAAATTTATTTAACTCGATCGCACATAGAAATCACTGCTGGGTGTTTGTATACATAACAATGTTTGGTTGCGTTGAAAAATAACTGCCACGTCACACAATAAATGGCACAACAGTCATTTCCTTAAAAAGGGAAAGGGATAAAATACCACTACCAGGTCACCCATTTTTGTATTTAATAACAAAAGGGTCACTTTTTTTCTAGAAGTTCAATTTAATCACTCAATTAAAAAATTATTACAAATAAATCATTTGTCGTTAGAAATGAAAAAAATATCTAATATATCTTCGTATAATAATAGTTTTAATATTTAAAACTTATACATCATATCAATTCTATCTTAATTTAAAATAATTTAATAAATTTAATCATTTATATTTAATTTTTTAATTAACTTAATTCTTTTTGTGATATTGTTAAATAAAAAAATTGTCAGATGAAAGTAGCAATTGAATAATAATATTATGTCGTAAAACAATTATAAGTTATTATTATATTATAAAAATATCATGATAATAATATAATATTATGAGAAAAAAGCAAATAATTTAGAAGAAGATTAAAAACTAAAATTATAGATTTTTTAAAATATGAATGATTAAATTTATTAAATTATTTTAAATTAGAAAAAATAATCAAATGTATACATTTTAGATATTGAAATTATTATTATATCTAAACATACCACTTTTATGTCTAATACTAACTACTAGTGAATTATTTGTAATATTTTAATTGAGTGATTAAATTGTAATTTTAGAGACTCGTTTTAGCATGGGGCCCGACTACAAACAACATCCCAGACCCGATACAATTGTTCAATCCAAGCCCAAGAGTGAAGCCCGTTGGTGAGCCCAAGACCCGGTTGGGCTTCTTCACCCCGGTTGACTAACCCAATTGCAACACCATACCTTGCTGTCCCAGTCATCATACCCTGCTGCTCCAGTCACCATACCCTGCCAGCTCCACCATGCCCTGCCATTTGTTGCCCATACCTCCACGACAACAGCAGCAAGGCCACCATCTCCCCCAAATCACGGTACCACCAAACGTATCAACCAAATCAACAAACAAATTTTATTTATGGGTAAAGTATAGTAATGGTCACTGAACTTTTCTAAAGCTTTCATTTAGGTCCCCCAACTTTTAAAACTTACAATACAATCCCCCAACATTTAGTCCATTTGCAATATGGTCCCCCAACAGTTACGTCAGGGATCATATTGCAAACGGACTAAATGTTGGGGGATTATATTGCAAGTTTTAAAAGTTGAGGGACCTAAATGAAAGATTTAGAAAAGATCAGTGACCATTACTATACTTTAACCTATTTTTTATATGGAAGGTACGGGGGAAGAGCAGATGTAACGGGCAGCAGTTAGAGAAATAGAGAGCATTGAAACCGGAGGTTACGCTTTTTTTTTTCCTTTTTCTTTTGAGGGGAGCTAAAAATTTTAACCGTAATGTAAGTTGTAGCTGTAATATTGTTGTTATGACTCCTAATTATTTGTCAATCAACTTTAAATATTTTACGATAGTTAGTGTTCGAACTCGAGATTTTTATGGATAACAATATTACTTTAATCATTGAAATCATAAGTTTGAATACAAATAAAGGAGCAAAATATTGGGTATTGATGGAGGATAATGGGTATTATGGACATGTCGGGAAACAGAACATCTAAAGCCATTTTTATAATACCCTGTTATGCCAGATAATTTGGAAAAAAAGCTTCATTCTTTAATTAGTTCATATATTGTTCAGTTAGAGAGAATGAGAATTTCAGAATATATATATATATACGCACACATTTCCATATAGAGTAATGAATCTTTTTACAATTTACTTTCTTGTTCGAAGGTTTCATTTGCTGACGGTTGGCTTTGCCTGAACATCTACAGCAGTCCAGAGTTTATCCTTCTTAGTTGTTTTGGAGGCATGTCTAAGCCTGTGCTACTTTCGGCGAACTAAGTTATAAACAAAGAAAATATAAAGTATTATTATATCATATATTGTTATATTTCCAATTAATTACCAGAAGCAGCCTTTTCAAATCTGTGTTCTTCTTGCGGTATTTCTGCACCTCTAATTCTAGCCACACCACGTAAGCCTAATGAAGAAAAAAAATTAGATTTTAAACCGGGGGTTATGCAAATAATAATCTCATTAAGCTTTTATCAGTGGGGTTAATTCAACTAATGAGAAGCTGGTAGCCTCAAAGTTACCTTCTTTTGTGCAAATGCACGAGCATCTGCCTCTCTGTTTTTGATTTTATGTAATTCCTTCTTTTCATAAGCTTCCGGAGTGCCCTTCTGAATCCTCTTTCTCGTTGTCCACTTCTTGATCGCTTGTTGTTCGTTTTTCGGTTTACGTTTAACGTGCATTGGTTCACCATGAGCGGCAGCCACTACGGTGGTACAGTCATGGCTGCCGCTAGAACCACAACCTTCTTTTCCGATGACTGAATGCATTCCTTGGTCTTTTTCCTCGTCTAGGATCGATTGCAGTTCGTCAAAATCGATGATTTCGTTGAGGTTCGTGAGATTGTAGTCCATGTGGGTTGAGGGAAAGAAGACATTTTCGAAAGCATCGGCGTCTTGTAAAAGTACTTCAATGTCAAACTGTTGGATGATTTCTCCACAAAGCTGATCTTCAGTTTTCTTCATGGTGTTCAATTATTGGTTAGAGAAGCTTGATTTTAGAGCAGAAGTAGACAAGACAAAGCTTTGTTCTCTTTTTGGCTGTCTTTAAAATTTGAAGATTATTTAAGTGTTGACTCACAAGGCGAGGAAACCAGAAGCAATACCTTCACGGTTTTTGCATGAACTGTATGGTGAGAACTTTTGCTTGAATAACACAAGGCATGCCCCTATCATTTAAAGCAAATGGAATAAAATAAAGGGTAAAGTATAGTAATGGTCACTGAACTTTTCTAAAGCTTTCATTTAGGTCCCCCAACTTTTAAAACTTGCAATAGAGTCCCCCAACATTTAGTCCGTTCGCAATATGGTCCTCAACAGTTACATCGAGGACCATATTGCAAACGGACTAAATGTTGAGGGACCATATTGCAAACGGACTAAATATTGGGGGATTATATTACAAGTTTTAAAAGTTGGGGGACCTAAATGAAAACTTTAGAAAAGTTCAGTGACCATTAATATACTTTACCCTTTATTTATTTATAATTTGTAATGGGTATATAACAAAAAAAGCAATGTAAACAGAGGATTATCAGAGAAATAAAAAAATACAGAATCGAAATTTCCAAGCAAAAAAAGACAAGGTATTCTAGCTATTGTTTTTTTGTATATATGTTAGATAATTCGAATATAACGAGAAATGAAAATAGGGAAAAGGGTTAAAACTTAGCTTGCTATCGAGGTGTTCGGTCGAGGCCAAGGGTGTCGGTTTAGGTCGCAGTGCCACCGTGTGTGATGGTCTGCCTTGTGAGTTGGACCTCTCGGTCAAAAAAAAGGGTTGGATTTACACCTTGTTTCGTCGGGGAAGGGTCGTCGAGTGAGGGATTTCTAGCACCATGATTAGTTGTCGGTCGAGAGTAAAGCGGCCACCCATATCCGACGGCCAAACGTCGCGTGCCTGGGGTTTTTAGGAGTCGACTGCCGTAGGTGTGGTGAGTAAATATAGGAGTAAGCTGAATGAATGTTAAGGGTTTATTTTTCTGGCAGAAAGAAAAAAAGGGGATATTAAACTTATTTAGTTATTTTGGACAAATCACGCTAAGGTGTCTATACCTCTAGCGTGTTTTTGCGTTTCAGTCGCCATATCTTGGGTTAATTACCCACAGGTCCACTAACTCTAGAAATCCTTTTGTGTTCTGGTCACTAATTTAGGGTTAAATTATTGTTTGGTCCTCGTCTTTAGCATATATAGCATCTTGGTCGGTTTTCGTGGGGAAATCTTCCTTAGGTCCTTTATACCTTGCCGTGTTTTTACATTTAGGTCACTTGATTCATCTTTTATTGTTTGTTTCGATTTAAGTTACATGTTATGTTTTATTTTATTTTGGTCATTTCTATGTTCTATTTTATTTTATTTATGACACCTTGTTTGTATTTATTTTAATTTAGCCACCATTTCCTCATTTATTTTCATTTGATTCTTATCCTATTTTTTACATTTGTTTCAATGTAGTCACTTCTTACTTTTGAATATGTTTTGGTTAAATATTTACTCCTAATGGATAATTTATGATTATGTTATTTTGGTCCTTTGAATCACTAAGTATGCTTAGCTTCCCTAGTTTACATTATGTTTTTTTTAAATGATTCCATGTTTCTATTTTGGTCCTTAATTCATATATACATGTTTGTACATATATGTTTGCTATATTATATATTATGATTTTACATGCAATAATTGTATTTATTTACTATATTCCTTGTATTGTTTTGCCATATACATGCATTATCTTTTTATATGTATAAATCTTTTATGTACCTAGCATATATATATATATACACATGTATATGCCATATGTTTAATACTTATGTATTCATATATATTGCTCTTCTTGAAATTATTTTATGTGTTAGTATTATAATATATTTTACATTTATTAGAAATTTTTCAAGAACTTTATTTGTAGAACTTGCGTGGAAAGTACTACTTGATCGAAGTGGTGCAATCCAATACGATGTTCAAACGGAATATGAACTTCAAAGTGCGAACCTTTTTTATGAAATTTATTAAAATCTTTATATTTTTATTTTATTTTATTTTATTCTATTTATTCTATTTTTATTATTATTTTATTTCATAGTGTTTGATGTTTTAATTTTATTTTTTATCTTGTCACATTTAATGTTAGTATTAATGATGTATGTTTTAGAAAAATGAATCATGATTTATTCTATGCAATTTTTTATATTAACTTATTTTTTAAGTAATTCGAAGATATAATATTCTTTACATATAAGAAATAGGTGGATAGCTTTCCCGATAGAAGATTGTGAATCTCGAGATTTCTTATAAAGTAAGAAGTTTCTTTAATTAGTCCATTCAAGGTAATTTAATTAATATTCAATAAATAGATCATAATTTTACATTTGATTAGAATTTTAAGTTCCACCATTATGACGTTGTATAAGTGGCTAAGTACCACTTTTGGGCGTTGTGGGGGTGTTTATCCTTTCTCATGCGTAACCGACTTTTAAACCCCTAAAAATAAAATATTGGATAACGCAGACCAACTTTTGTCTTTTAAATTATTTTTCTAAATTGTTTAAAAGATGTTTTTAAGTATTCAGCCACCTAAACCCAAAGGTCGATGGCGACTCTCATCTAAAGTAATTCAAAATTGCCAAATTTTCAAAAATAGTAATAATTGTTTTTTAAACTTATTATTTTTTTTAAAAAAAAATGGTTAAGACAGTTTGGCGACATCGTTGGGGACTTAGATAGTCAGGCTGTTGGTCGCTTATATATTGTGGTTATGGTGGAAATTATAAGTTTGAATCTCTAGTTAACTTATGATCTATTTATTGAAATTTTTCTAAATTCTTTATTTTTTTATATACTAACATTTCAATTTTTGTTTTTTTCAACTCTATCAAAGTTCTTATTGAGAATTTTTAGGTTCTTTTCTTTTTTTTTAGTTAAAGGTTTGTATGTTTCTCCTCACACACATCACGAGCATTTGCATAACATAAGCTCTAGACCCGAGCTTCGTTTCAAGTAAGTGGGGGTGAAAGCTTTACTCTCGTAAGAATTTATTCTTCGTATGAGTTTTAGCAAATAACCTCTGGGATGCACATACCTTATATCTTCGTAGAGATTTATTCCTCGTATGGGTATAAGGAAGTAAATCCCCTTGAATTGAACTCGATCTATTTATGCCTATAATGGGTTAGGATTGAGGGTTTGGCAGTCCAAAGGGGCACCAACATCAAGGACAATTCGAGTACCCTTTTTTCATTAGAGTCAAAACCATGCATATAGAGAACCTTAGAACTATCAACCTAGGTAGAGCCATGTCGAACCTCTGTCCGTCAGTAGGTACCCAAAATAGGCATACACGAAGGAGAAACCTACTTTAACCTTTTATTTATTTACCTAATTATTTTCGAATATGTAGAATATATTTATTCTTTACAAATAAAAGCATGTGAAATAGAATTTATGTGCATTTAGGTTTTAATTAAATAAATATAGGAGGGTAGAGAGCATGTTTAGGTAGGACCCATTTTGATGAATTTTATTTGGGTAGATAACATGGAAATAAATTCAATTTATTTATTGTCTTATATATATGTTTTTCTTTTATGTTGAATTTACACACCTGTTTTGACTAACTGTTTTGTTTGTTTTGTTTTGTTTTATTATTATTATTTTATTTCTTCATATCGTATGTACATAACATTAGAAAAGGCAATTGATCCGTGAGTATCAAAGAGAATCCTGCAGATGTACGGAATTGGTCCGAAGCAAAGCACAAAGAACAAGAAGATAGCCTACCAAGGAACTATGTGTCAGAACTGTCTAATTATACACCGGTCTCCTTAAAACAAAATAAACTTCAGGGATTGAAGAAGATATGGGAAAGTTGAAATTTTACTACGAAACAAGCTTTTTTAACAGACTTATGGGGACATATTCCATCTGATGTATGTCAATGTAGACCTAGTCCTCATTCGAAGCATGATACATTTTGGAATCCATCATATAACTTCTTCACTTTAAATTGAGAGGAAATGACTTCGACCCTTAAGGAATACCACTTTTTGCTGAATTTGCCGAGCGTTAAAGTGAACAAGATCTATTCTCGATCAATAAAAGGGCCATCGTTTAAATCAAAGCTTGCAAAGATATCGGGCACAAGTGAAAAGTGGGTAACAGATCGCTTGCAACGAAAGGGAGAAAGTGAGGGAGTGTCGTGGTCCCACCTACAAAAGATAGCTAAAGTACACGTAGAAGAAAATGTACGGAGAGATGTTCTTGCTCTGGGAATGTATGGTTTGGTAATTTTTCCAAAGTGTTTGGGACTTGTTGAGTTCGCAGTAGTTGACTTGGTTGAAAAATTAAAAAGAGAGACAAATCTAGTTCCTGTAATTCTAGCCTAGACTTTTTGATATTTGAATATCTGTAGGAGGCTAAGTGGAGGCCTTTTTATGGGTTGCGCTCAGCTGCTTACCGTCTGGATCAAAAGTCATTTTTGGAGAGAAGAAAAAGTCAACTATAATCACTTTTTGATAGATTATTCTCCCGTTAATGAATACCTTACAAGAGAATAGCCTGAAACGTCACAAAAAGACCAGTGGATCGACTTCTTCAGAAATTTGTAGAGTCAGAATATAGCATGGTGAACCCCATGGCTGATGCACACACAAATTTTGTTTAAGTGTGGTGATTTGGATTTGATTGTACTGCTGGGACTGTGGGGAAGAGTCAGGTATGCTCCTTTGTTAGTCTTAAGACAATATGTTACCCGACAATTCGTTCCAGTGACTCATGGGCTTGCTGGTGCTGAATTTGATTATAAAGAAGTCAATTATAGAAAGAAAGTCAAAGATGTGGCTGATTCTTGGACGTTGACTTTTAGGACCAAGGTACTTGGAGCGGATGTTATGTTGACGCCTGATTACAAAGCCTGGAGAGTTCAAAGGGTAATTGAAAATATCCCTTTAACATATAGAGAAGGATCAATGTTGATGGAGGAACAAATCGGGAAAATCTCTTCAAACTTGGAAATTCAGAGAAACGAATTCGAGATGGAAAAGGCTAAAAATGCCAAAATAATAGAAGAAATGGAGAGGGAAAATTTCATGCTAACTCTCGATGCTGAATTCTATGCCAAACAGTTTGTAATGATGAGAAAAAGAAAAGATGTGGTGGAAGCTAACCTAGAAGACCTGAAAAGGATTATGAAAAGCTGTAATGAGCCAGAAAGGGATTTAGGTCGAGTAAAGCACCAAAGGAGTGGGCTAGAGAATTAGCAGATGCAAAGCAACAAATTAAAAGTTTTGAGGTAGAAAATAAGTGTCAGATCAATAAGATAAAAGCTAGAAAGGAAAAAATAGGAGAGCTAGAAGTCGATAAGAAAGAATTGATAAAGCAATACAAAATCGAGGCTCGTAGAGGTCAAAGAATCAAAGAAGAGAAAGAAAATAGCCTGAAAGTATTAGAAGAAGAGAAAAATTGAGTCTAGGGGTTGAAAACTGAGATGAATAGCATAATTGAGGATTTTGAAGATAAAGATCGAAGAATTATAGAGCTTAAAGAGGAAAGAGAGAGAAAAAAGGATGAGATATGGTCTGAAAGACAGGGATGAAATCAAATCCTTGATAGAAAGTAGATCGAGATTGGATCGTGAATGCAAAGATTCTCCACAAAAAGTCGGCAAGTGGATGAGCTCACTAGAGAAATGGGAGAATTGTAGATAAGATTTGAAGAAGAGCTAAACCAATCTCTATCCATGAATGATGAGAGTAAAAACCACGTCTCGAACCTTGAGCAATCTTTGCTTCAAGTTCCTCACGCGTTAATAGACTTAAGAGTTACTCTCGAAGAAAACAAAGCCTACTTGAAAGAAATCAGAGAGATGAAAGATGAGCTCCAGCCAAATCACTAACCTAGAAAAAGAGAACAAACACATTAATGCTGGGTGGAAAAACACATATGAACATTACCGCTCTCTGGTAGAAGAACATGAACGTATGATAGGTGAAGCCATAGCACAAATGGGTGAAGTTGCTTAGTATATGAATGAATTGGTCAACAGAGCTGATATCATCTAACTCCAAATAAATCCAGTTTCTGAATATACGAGGGAGGTCAATACAATTATAAATGAAATTATAGAGTTGAATCTGAGGGCTAGACCTTATCGGTAATCGAACTCTTTTGTAATGAGTGAAACTTTTCATCCAATGAAAGTTATTTTAGAATGGCTACTGCTTGGATCAACGCCTTTTATTTGCATTTTGCACTTGCATCATTCATTCTACATAAACGATTCATCATTCATAATACATTACCAATAACATGCATTCATATTTAAAAGAATAACAAAATTAATTTTTGAAGGGTTATGTGACAGATGATACTGGTAAGTAAAAATACCAATCCTCGTCGCACACGAAGCAAAACCATGGATTCTAAGCTTGAGCAATTAAAAAAGAAAATGCAGGAAAATTTGTTAAGATTACAGTAAGAATGGGAGGCAAAAATGAAACAGTCACATAATCAGTTATATACTAAATCTTGCAAAGCTAAGCTAGTATGGTGAATGATATTGTAGCCACAATGTATGGGTTACGTACTGAAATAGAAAAAGAACCAAGTGCTAGATTTAATCCTACCCCCAAAGTTTAAAATGCTGGAATTTAAGAAATATGATGGGAAAATTTGCCCTGTCGCGCATTTGACTTTGTTTTGCGGAAGAATGACGAGATTTGTAAAGGATGATATTATTGATTCATTGCTTCCAAGCCAGCTTGACAGGATCAGCTGCCAGATGGTATAACCAGTTAACCTGAGCCAAGATAGGGTCATGGAAGGATTTGACAAATGCTTTTAAAAAATAGTACCAGCATGTTACCGACATGATGCCTGATAGAGTTACTCTCCAGAACATGGAGTTGAAACATAATGAGAGCTTTTGTCAATATGCATAACGCTAGAGAGATATTGCCACCCAAGTACATCTACCACTTGTTGAGATAAAGTTCATAACAATGTTCATATATGCGTTAAAATCTCCCTATATCGATCATATGTTAGGGGTGGAAACCAAAAGCTTCTCTGATATTGTGATGTGTGGTGAAATGATTGAGAGGGTACTAAAGAAAGGGTAAATATCCGGTAGCCAAAATCCTGCAAAGAAGCCATATGCGAGAAAGAATGAAGAAGAATGGAACAATGTAAATTTCTCCATAAACAAGACAAAGACTGAAAATTCTTCATCGCAAGGGGAAACTAAGCATGAGAATAACGCTGAAAGGATTCGTTCACTCCAATACCGATGACCTACAGTGAACTTTTCTATGGATTACTCCAAGCCCACGTAGAGTCACCAAGATTCATATATCTGATTAAACCACCTTATCCAAAATGGTACAATGAAAATGAGACATGTGAATATCATGCAAATCTCTGAGGGCATAATATTGAAAAATGTCTTACTTTTAAAAGAGTGGTTGAGGATCTGATCAAAAGAGAGATAGTGTCGTTCAAAGACTCAGATGCACCTTGTGTTGCTATAAACCCGCTTTCGAATCACCAGAACCAAGGAGTTAACGCCATCGAAGAGAATAGAAGAATCAAGAGGAGGATTGAAGAAGTAAGAATGTCATTGAAGTGAGTATACGAACAAATGAGAAAGAGAGGGATGTTGAGTCCTATAAAGAAATTTTCAACAGAAAAACCAGAGAACTTGTGTGAGTACCATTGCGAAAATGGTCTTAAAATCCAAGTTTGTCGAGAATTTAGGCAGACGATCCAAGAATTGATGGAAAAACAGGAACTGTAGTTTTATGAAGAATGGACGATTGAGAATGAAGGATATATTTGTTCTTCTTAAGAAAGTTCATAACGAGTCGAATAGAAATTAAAGATACCTATCTTGGTCATATCAAAACCAAACTATGAGGCAAGCAAGGGAAGAACAACATCCAAAGTGGTGATCAAGACCCTGATGCCTTTCTCCTACAAAAGTAATAAGAGTGTTCCTTTGGATTATACGTGCCAAATTAATACTCTTGAGAATCATAAAGAAGAGATCGTTGAAGTTGGATTTTTTACCAAGAGTAGGAGATGATATGCCCCTGGAAAAGTCGAAAAAGAAAAAGCTGTGATAATTGATGATCATGAGGATAAAATGAATGAACCTGTCAAGATCTAGGAGGCTCATGAATTTTTGAAGTTTTTAAAGCACATCGAATATAACATTGTGGAACTACTTCATAAAACTCTGGCACGAATTTCGATGACACCTCTTCTGTTGCACTCTGAGGTGCATCGGAATACACTTATCAAGGTTCTGAATGAATTTTTTTGTGGGGAAAGACATACCGATAAAACGAGTGGACATGATGGTAAATCACATTAATGCAGACAATTTTATTTATTTTTATGATGACGAGAAACCTGATGAAGGTAAAGGCGGATGTAAGGCATTACACATTACTGCCCACTGCAAAGGCGTCATCATTTCTAGGGTGTTAATTGATAACTGATTAGCCCTAAATGTCATGCCATTCACCACTCTAAATAGACTTCTAGTGGATGCTTCCCAAATGAGGGTTTGTGGCAATATTGTGACAACATTTGATGAAACGGAAAGCAAAATCATAGGGAAAATGATTATCCATCTCAAAGTTGGCCCTATGACATTCGAAGTAGATTTTTTTTATCATGGATAGTCATTCGAATTACAAGTGCTTGCTAGGTTGACCATGGATTCACATGGATGGGGCAGTTCCTGTTAGGACCGTCGGTGCACCCCATGGAGCAACGGAAACAAAACTCGACGGTCTCACCAGCGATCGAAGTACATAAAATTGAAATCGGGTAGAAGGGATGCGAACACTTATAGCGAGTTCCTTGAAAAACAACAAGGACAACAACGACTAATGGTGGTGTCGATCAGATCGAATCCACCAAATCACTTCTCGGCCTCTACTCAGTTCACCCGATGGAGAGCAATATTTATTTTCCCCAAAACTATTTTTGAGAAAAATGACTGAAGATTATGTGTGTGCTAAACGACTGTTAGACCTAACACATCCTTTTATATGCGAGTTACCCTAATCATATTAGGGATTTTTATTATTTTAAATTAATTAAATCTTTACTTAATTAATTGAAATTAAATATTCAGGATTATTAAAACATATGTATATCAATCATACATTTATAAACTCTAGACATATTTTCGTAACATGCACCAATTGTATATATTTGCTAGTTTCAATCCTAGGATATGACTTTGTAGGTTCTTGTAACGTTAGCAGTAATTATTAAAACAATTATAATATTACATACAATGAGTGAGATCTAGCAATATATCATTGCCACCTAAGTTACAAGAAAATATGATTTTACATATCATCTTGGTGATTAACTCTTTTATGTATTACATCCTTATGTAATTTATATATAGAATAGGCACAAGTCTTGGAATAGTCACACTTGTATATCACATCTATTATTTCTTGATATCTAGAATAGACTTTAATTAACGAATAGTTTGTGATATCTCATAACAACTTATTCGAGGATGGCCATGTGTTTCTAGTCTCACACAATCAAGTGGCCTATGATATATTTCCTATTATGTAAGAAGGACAAATCCTATCTTAATCATACACACCCATTACATATACTGATATATATTCAATAACAATCTTTATAGAGCAACCGGTTACGGAGCTTGTTTAACTGCATCAAAAATACAACAATACATGTTGGGATAGTATTGATCTCAAGTCTGAGGATCATATATATAGTCATCACCATGAGCAATGTTATGACTGTCACATAATAATCCAAGACATATTCTCATGGTAGGCCAATCCAATACATTATTCTCTAACAATGTAATCTTGCATCAATTCTGACATCTCCATGTCAATGACAGCTCGTTGTTATCAATCAATAACTTGTTAGTCTTAAGCGTATTATTATTGCTCATGCCCATAATAATACTTGAATAGGGATCTTTTAATAATAATAATTATGTCATTATATGGACTTTATTATCTTCGATTTTATGTTAAACACATATATATAATTGAAAATAATAGCGACAATATCTTTATTCAATAAATTGGGTAAATGAAAGTAATATTACAATCATAATATTATTGGTCTTTGGGCATACTCTAACAATCTTATACTAGCACTAAGACCAATCACTCACATATCTAATACCGAATGATTTAGTGTGATGATCATGCCTCTGTTGTGTAAGAGGCTTCATAAAGAGATCAACAATGTTGACATCCGTGTGTACTCTGCATATTTCCACATATCCTCGATCTATGATCTTTCAAATGAGATGAAAGTGCCTAAGAATATATTTGGATCGTTGATGAGATATGGATTCTTTTGCTTGTGCAATGGCTCCATTATTGTCACAACGGAGTTCTACAACATCTAATATGCTGGGAACAACCCCTAATTCCAATATAAAATTCTTGATTTAAACAACCTCTTTTACTGCTTCACTGACTGCAATGTATTCAACCTCTGTTGTAAAATCATCTACTGTGTCTTGCTTCGAACTTTTCCAGCTCACAGCACCTCCATTAAGACAAAACACAAAACCCGATTGCAATCGTGAGTCATCCTTGTCAGTTTGGAAGCTGGCATTAGTATAACCTTTTATACTAAGCTCTTCATCCCCTCCATAGACAAGAAATTTATCCTTAGTTCTTCGTAAGTACTTAAGGATATTTTAAACCGCAACCCAATAAGTTTTACCAGGGTTTGCTTGATACCGACTCGTCATGCTTAGAGCATACAATACATCTGGTCGAGTACTTATCATGAAATACATTATAGAACCAATAGCCGAAGCATATGGAATCTTATTCATCTATTCTCTTTCTTTTGGAGTTGAAGGACACATTTCCTTCGAAAGAAAAATGCCATGTCTCATAGGCAAAAATCCTTTCTTTGATTCTTCCATACTGAACATTTTCAGAACTTTGTCTATATATGTACTTTGAATCAGACCTAGAAGTCGTCTTGATCTATCTCTATAGATCTTAACTCCTAAGATATACGCTGCCTCATCCAAATCTTTCATAGAGAAACAACTACCTAACCAAGTCGTAACAGACTGTAAAGTAGGTATATCATTTCTTATAATGATTATGCCGTCTATATACAAGATTATGAAAGAAACAATGCTCCCACTAGCCTTCTTATAAACACAAGGCTCATCTTCATTTCTGATAAAACCAAATTCTTTGATTGCATCATTGAAATGAAGATTCTAGCTTCAAAAAGCTTGCTTTAGTCCATAAATATACCTCTATAGCTTACAAACCTTTCTCACATTTCCTAGAGAGACAAAACCTTCTGGTTGTGTCATATACACATCCTCTTCGAAATTTCCATTAAGGAAAGCGGTTTTGACATCCATTTGCCAGATTTTGATAATCATGGAATGCAACTATTGTGAGCAAGATCCGGATGGAATTAAACATAGCTACAGGGGAGAACGTTTCGTCATAGTCTACACCATGAACTTGTCGAAAACCTTTAGCGAGCAATCTCCTCTTGTATTTTGTACATTACCATCCATGTCAGTTTTCTTCTTGAAAACACATTTACACCTTATAGGTTTGACCCCTTCAGGTGGTTCAACCAAAGTCTGCACTTGGTTTACTGACATGGAATCCATCTCAGATCTCATGGCTTCAAGCTATTTCTCATAGTCTGGGCTACACCCTACCTCTTGATAAGTCCTAGGCTCATCTTGATCCATAAGAAGAACATCTCCATGTGCAGTAACGAGAAATCCAAATCTCTCAGGTATACGACGTTCTCTTATGAGTCTGCGTAGTGGTTGTGTTTCTAAATCTGTTAATTGTTCCTCAATAACTTGTGAAACATGCTCAACTTCAGGTTCATTGATCTATTGTTCTTTAACTTCTCTAAGTTCAATATTTCTACCCTTACCTTTCTTTGAGAGAAATTCTCTTTCGAGAAAAACTCATGTTCGAGCAACAAACACTTTGTTCTCATTGAAGAAATAATATCCCTTAGTTTCTTTAGGATATCCAATAAATATACACTTATGATATTTAGGTTCGAGCTTTATAAACATCTGATGTTTTATATAAGCTTCACATCCCCAAATCTTCATAAAAGAGATACTAGGACACTTTCCAGTCCATATCTCGTATGGTGTCTTTTAAACAGATTTTGATGGAACACGATTTAGTGTGAAAGTGACTGTTTCAAGTGCATGTCCCCAAAAAAGAAGTCGGAAGATCACTATGACTCATTATCGATCGAACCATGTCTAAGTGTTCGATTCCTTCTTTCAAAAGCTCTATTCCATTGTGGTGCATCAGGTGATGTAAGTTGTGAGACAATCCCACATTTTTTTAGGAGTTCATCAAACTCCATGCTTAAGTATTCTCCACCTCGATCTGATCAAATTTCCTTAATACTCTTGCCTAGTTGATTTTGTACTTCATTTTCAAATTCCTTAAACTTTTCAAGGGCTTCAGATTTATGGCGCATAAGATAAATATACCCATACCGACTGAAGTCATCAGTGAAAGTAAAGAAGTAATAGAATCGACCTCTGGCTTGTATATTCATCGGTCCATATACATCACTATGTATTAACCCGAATAAATCACTTGCTCGCTCCCCTTTACTATTAAAAAGAGCTTTAGTCATTTTTCCCAACAAGCAAGATTCGTATACATCACATTGTTCGAAAACAAATGAATTTAAGAATCCATCTTTATGGATTTTTTATATGTGTTTCTCACTTATATGGCCTAAACAACAATGCCAAATATAAGTTTGATCCGAGTCATTTATTTTTGATCTCTTAGTATTTATGGTATAAATGGCGTTTTCTTGATCCAAAATATAGAGACCATTAACCAATTGTGCCAAACCATAAAAAACACTATCAAGATAAAAAGAACAATAATTATTCTTAATAATAATCTCAAAACCAATCTTGTCCAAACAAGAAATAGAAATAACATTCTTAGTGAAACTAGGCACAAAATAACAATCCTCTAAATTTAAATCAAGTCCACTAGGCAAAGATAAAACATATGTCCCTATAGCTAATGCATTAACTCTTGCTCCATTTCCCACTCGGAGGTCTAAGTCTCTTTTAGCCATATTCCTTCTCTTTTGCAGTCCCTATACGAAAGTACAAATATGAGAATCATAACCGATCTAATACCCAAGAAGTAGATGTTGACAAATTAACATCAATAACATAAATACATGAAACAAACGTTCTGTTTGCTTTTGCCTTCTTGACCTCTTCAAGGTAAACAAGGCAGTTTCTCTTCTAGTGTCCGGTCTTATCGCAATTGAAAATTTTTCTTCCTTACTAACTCCCCCTTTGGGTTTCAATGCATTTTCCCCTTTTGGTTTGGCCTTACCATTGCCCTTAGACTTTGCCACTACCTTTTTCCTTATGAACTATCAGAATGGGGTTAGGTCCTACCTTTTTCATGTTACTTTCAGCAGTTCGTAACATGCCAAGTAACTGTGGCAAAGTCTTGTTAATTTCATTCATTTTGAAATTAAGGACAAATTGGCTAAATCTATCTGGCAACGATTGCATGATAACATCAGTAGCCAATTAATCTTTGAGAGGTGATAACTCCGTAAAAAGACTCAATTTCCAGTCTTTTCACTTAAGTTATTTCTTGTCTAAACAAAGTATGCATAACATTTTAGTTGCATTAAGTTGCATATAGGTTATATTAGCTTGTGGTGGATAAGTTTTACTTAGGCAAAATTTATTTGGTTTGACTGATGCTGCTGAGGAGAAAGAGTTGTTTGGATTGTGTTTGTGCAAGAAATTTATAGAGGAAGACCATTTCAGTCGTGACAACGTAAATTTAGAAGGGCCAACAGAACAGATGAGAATGTGAGGAGCAGATTTATCTCGCCGAGGCAACATTTATCTGAAGAAGTTTGAAGCAGGTGTGATGAAACTGCCTATGTCACACGCCAGCTGGATGACCTACTTAACGTGCAAGAAAGCCTTAATTATTCTAACAGCCGCCTTTCCT